ATATGAGATTTTGGGGTGAAATTTTTGACAAATCTGCAAAAATTATGGCATAAAATTATGCCTTAACTGTTTTGACAAATCTGCAAAAATTTCACCCCAAAATCTCATATCCCATGAAAAAAACGAGAAAAGAAGTATCTACAAAGTTGTCTGGTTGAATTATGGAAAAATTACTCGATTTCCGATTGAAGTGCAAGACTTCACAGTCAACGCAGACCTCCATAAATAGTTGGACCCAATACGTACTACTTATTAGGTTCATTTTATTTATGCCATAGAACACCCGATTCTCAAGAAAATTGTGGCATAAAGTTTTGACACAAAATCTCGAAAAATGGAATATTTCGATTTTTTGCAACTTTTCTTCGAAAAACGGCTATTTTTTGCCATTTTCATCCTTAATTATTTTGCGTACATTGTACATTACCGTACGGTCAATGATGTACAAAAACCGTACGGATACAGTACTTTACTGTTAGCTCGCAGGATTGTTGTCGTCGGGATGGCAGCAGCAGCGCGGCTACGGCGGAAGAAGTTCGCCGATGCCACGGACGACATAGACGACGTGTGTCTGTACGACATTGAGTTCAGTGGCAGTGGACCCATTGGCATCCAGTTCGAAACAGACTTTTACGGAAACCACGCCATCGTCAAGGCGGTCGTTGCCGGAGGTGCCGCGAGCAAGGTCATCGCACAGCAGGACAAACCCACGTGCATCGTACAAGCAGGTCATATGGTGGTGGCAGTCAACGGGAAGGACGTGTCCAACGAGTCCTTCCGAGCGGTAGGCACTGTCGCACCCACATCGAGCCATGTTCAACGGGGTGCGTGCAGGTGATGGAGTCCATCAAGGCCACGACAGGAACCTCGTCGCGCATCCTCCGATTCCTAGATCCTACCGTGCTGGCCTTGGACCAAATGAACCACCACGCGACGGACGCACTCTTGAATCGGTTCACTCCATGCCTTGGATACACTTTCACACTATTTGTAGCGACAACTACGGATTTGCCAAGCACGACGACTACATCCTCCAATACCGCAAGCAATTGCGAGCGAAAAAGGCCCAGCCCAACGTACGACGCAGCAGCATTCCTGACATATATATATATATATTTTTTTATTTATTTACTAGCATTATGCAGTCGAGACAGCGTGGGCCAAGTTCTTGCAGGCCCATGGCGGGTTGGATGCTCTTGATGCCAAATACAATCGAAGTGACGCTAGTACGCGCACCCAAATACAAATACTATTGGAGGTACGCGTTGCTACATTTTGCATATATACAATTTTTATATATATATATATATATATATAATTGACGAGGCATCGCAGCCATTGGTATTGACAGGCATCCCCACTGCATTCCGAGCATCCATATGGGGCATCTTAACCAATGTTCGGGGGTATCAAGCCAACTATCCATCCACGTACTACGCTGGTACACTATGAGCAGATAGATATATATATCTAAATATATCCCCAAAACCCCGAAACCTGATACTAAAACTACTACGGGGTGGGGGTGGTAGATTTGCTCCAAGGCGACTTACGGACCAGTGTACGTACGCCTATGTTGTACACTGACGGGGAAATTATAAGTCCAACGCGGTTTTATATTTCACGAATAGTACCAGTAACGAAGCG